AAAATATATCTTTAATGTCTAGAGCATTATCCATCATAGGAGTGAATTCATTGTCATCAAATTGTTTCTCTTCATCAATTATGTACAATGGCTCTTGCGTATCTCTATGATTAAATTACGAATTTGATATTTTAATTTATAAAACTATCATTCTACATATAAACTCAATTTTTATGTAATATACATACTTTTCGAGGGAAAGTACTAATTGACGGTTATCACCATCGTTATTTGTATGATTTACTTTTTTCATCGGTGGTTCATCATCTTCACTAAAAATTGTTGACAATTCAGATTCTACATTTTTTGATGTTCCAGAAACTATGGGATGTAACTCATTGTATATATACGATAGTAATTGTATAGCTCTCTTTCGTTTCTGTGGTTTCAATCCATATTTATTCAATTCGGCCTGAAATCAAATTAATATATTGCAATTAATTAAATTCCTTATTATATAATAGTACAGTTTATTAACTTACACAAAGCTTGGGTGTCTCCATATTATTATAATTTGGTGGAGGAGTAACACTGTCCCTAATAAACTCAGGTGATCTATTCACATTAACATTTTTTTTAAAATTACACTGAGAATTAGAATACCCTTGGGAAATACAATTTTTATTATTCTTTTTGTTAATCTGTACACTCGTTTCTGAAACTGATTTCCTCAGAAATTTTCTAGCACTCTCTTTTACAGTTGTCGATTTTTTGTTGTGTTTAGATTTTTCTACAACAGAACTGTTCACTTTACTTAACGTACTGATTTTATCAACTTCTGCAGCACATACATTTCTTTCATCTGCTTTTTTAGTAAATATTGAAGTATCGCTATCATCATCATAATTATCAATATGAACATTTGCCAAATATACACTATTTTCAAAAATATCATCAAAGTTTAAAGGACGTGATACACTTTCATTCGTTTTAATTTCATTGCAATTATAGGTACTCGGATTATCAAAATCAAATTCAGGGCTAGAAGATATTAATACTGGAGATATACTAGAATTACGTTCGTTTATGTTTGAGTTGAGCGAACATTTTCTCATTACTTCTAAATCTATATTACTTTCCGATTTACTGTATTTGAGTGTACATAAATTATTTTGATCTGGGTTTTTAATGGAATCTTTTATAATACTCGGTGACATAATATTAGTAGACGAACGATTATTTTTATTATCTGTGAGGCATTTATTAGTAAAATCACATAAGTCACGTCGAGGTGCTTGTTCATATTCTTTAGAATTAAAAGATAATCTTTTCGTTTCTGTTTGACTGTATTCCTGTACTATACTAAGTTCAGCTTCTGTATCTGTATCCGATAACGATAAAATATCACTATCCGTATTGTCATTTTCCTTACACTCATCTAGCTCACGATCTTTTACATTACTAGGTAATACGTGCTTCTTTACAAAATTTCGATATTTTATTATACTATTATCTTTATGCGTCTTTTTATATTTCGAATACATAGACATTTCAATTCCAGTTGTATCAAAATCTGAACACGTAGCATCTTCTTCACTGTCTGTATTTGTTAAACTTTGTGTACTCTTGTGCAGTGAATTTCTAAATATAGAATATATTGCTCCCTCTTCAAATTCCTTCTCGGTATTAATTATACTATCGTTCATTGAACTGCTTTTATTTTCCTCTTCTATATTCAATTTTGATCGTATTTCATCTTTTGATTCATCGAGATCAATGCACATATTAATATCATTTTCTACGATTGGTGTTTCCACATCTTTTAAGTCAGGATCTTCTTGACAGTCGAACACACTTAAACCATGTTTATTTTTTAATGCTCCTTTAATAACACCATCTGTAGAATCATCCTGGTCTATGTGAAACGGATTTCTATTTGGTTTGAGAGGTGTTAATGTTACTGAAATTTCAGAGTCTAATTCCGAGATTGATTTCGCATTTTCCTTTCGACATTTTTCGATAAATATACTAATATCATTTTTTGCACTTTCTGAGTTAGAATAACGGCTCCTTTTCGGCGTAGTAAAATACGTGACATTTGGCAATAAGTCTGCGTTCTCTTCAATACTCTTATAAGTAATAGTATCTTCGGATTTCCGATTAGACTTTTGATTATTTGAGTCCAGCACACTATACTCGTCAACTACTTTTATTTTTTCAACGTCTATTTTATCGATGGAATGTTCTGTTTTGTTCTTCATTTCATTACTTTTTGTGTTGATATTACTATCATCGAATAAATCGGGAGATAAATTTGTGTTTTGAAGAATACTTATTTCACTTAAATCTATTCCTTCTTTCAGCAATTCTTTTGTGTATGTATCATTCGTCAATTCTATTGTCACAAATTCAGTTTTATGTGTAATACGTTCTTTTAAGTCCTCCTTATTGAATTTTTCATTTTCATCCAATTTACAGTCCTTACTATCATGGAGTAAATTATGTACATTATTATTGCTCAAATTTAAATTGTCTGTTTCCTTTGGTATTAATTTTTCGACTTTGTTCTCTTCACTCTTTTCTCCTTTCATTTCAACATCTTTCATTTGTAGGAAAGTGAATAACTCTTTTATTTTATATTTTCTCGCCAGATTTCTTAAAGTCGTGAAACTAGTTATGTTTTCTAAAACGTGTGCATGATTTTTAATAATTCCACAATAAATAAATTCCAGAAATGCTAGAGCGATGTTGTAAGATATGTCTGTCCAATCAACTTTTTCTTTAATCGTAGGGAACTCCAAACTCTTATTCGGTGTAACATCAAGTAATACGTTCGGACATTGTACGTAAAAAACTAATCTATGTGCCCAAATATGTTTATCACTCTGTACAAATATTATTATATCACTTGCAGAGCTATCATTTAATGTAGAATACCAATTTGCTATTACCGTATTAGTAAACTGCTTATTTTGGCAGTTTTTACAGTTCTCATTTGTATCTATGCTTGAAACTTCATATATTTTTTCAATGCTACAAATATCTTTTTTGATTTCATTTAGTTCTATATTATATGTGTTATCTGGAAAATCTAAATTTATATTTTCCTGTAACCAGAAATAAAAATATAATGTATGCAATAAAAAAGCATGAATAAAAATATAATTTGCCTTGTTCTGACTTACTATTTGTATTTCTTTTGGAGAANAGCAGTCCTTTAATTTTAATAAAAAGAAGACGTAAACATACTCCTCTTAGCTTTCACTACTGGAGGTTTGCTATTTGCAAATCCAAATCTTTCCAATTGTGCTCTTTTTTTCTCTTGATGAGCTGATTCAGTTACATCTGTCATAAATGGATCTGATACTTCGGGTAATATTTCACATTCATTAATTGCATCTACTTCTTCTGCTTCTTGAAGCGATTTTGACAATGCTAATGCAAGTTCAAAATCATTTTCTTCATATGGAATCTATAACAATATATAAACCACTAAAAAAAATACCAAAATGTCTGAATGTAAATTTAACACTTAAAAATATATATGTGTATACTTTTCTAGAGGATATTATTGCCTTCTTTTTTCCTTGTACAGCAGGTCCAGCGAGTAGACCTAATGATTTTCTCTCATCTTCTTGTCGATTTTGAAGCTCTATAGCTTCTAAAAGCTTTTTTGTAGGAATATTATTTCTGAAAGCGCAAATCTTCATATGCAGTACACGAGAGTCATGATCTTTAAATGTTTTGAAACATAATGGACACACAAGAGCCACTTTTACATTAGAAACTGCCTCGTTATCAGAACTGTTTTTTGATTTAAAAAAAGATGACTCTATTGAAGGTTGTGCACTTTGCAAATTTCTTTTTCTTTCTAAACGTTGTTTATTTAACTCTTTTTGACTTTTAGCAGAACTCTTCAATTTTCTAGCTGTCTTTCTCCTTTGAGAATTACTGGATTCAGTGACTTTTGTTATACAGGATTGTTTTGGGCTCTTGAAATCTGCTAAACTATCGTCTTCTGGTACGACAGACATATTATGTGAAATTATGTCTTCGTGCTCATCCATTTTATTTTTGTGAAACTAAAAAATGAATCTTCTTTAGTATTGAATTTATAATTACATATGTAATATCAAACAATAGTTTGCTAAATAATATTTCCATTAGCATAATTTAATGATTTATTTTGCTCAAGTTTACAATATCATTAGTTATATAAAATATACTACAGAATGAATTTATTCTACTTGTATGCAGCAAACATACCTTATCACACTACTTTGCTTTAAATAACTATTTATGTCACATAAATCTCACAAATTACAGAATGTCGTTATGTATAAAACAATCTATTTATTCTCTCCTTTAATTTCTGCACGAGTAAGTGAATTTTCATTAATTGTTGTTAATTCTCCTTTTTCATCATATTTTTCAAGTACCATGGATACAACATTGTGAAGATATGGATTGTCCCACACGTCCCTTGTTGCCATATATTCTTCAAACCTGGTCATTTTTTTATTAAAGAAGTCATATTCATCCAGTTCAGCAATAAGTTTCTTCTTTTTTATGATATATTCACTGGAAGTACAATAAAAGTATTTGTACAAGGAGCATAATGTTTTATATATTCTATGATAGATGATATACATTTAAAAACAGAATATAGAAGTCAGGGATATTTTTTAATTTTATTAATTAACATTGAAAGCAGAACAAATACANAAATAACATGGTAAATAACTAAAATAACACGCATTGCACAAATTATGCATTTATTTCAAATATGTATGTGTGATTACATATGTACTAGATATATATTATGCTCTCCGATGTTTATTACCTAAAATGATCTTCAAAGCGTAGAATTATCATTTAATCATCAATTAAACTAATAAATAATAGGCTATATAGTTCAAACATGGAGTTTTTCAACATGTAATTTACAAAAGAAACTGATTGAGGAAAATCTAGCAGATGATTGATTATATGAAGACTAAGTGAATTATACTTTGAATACTAATTATTTGATTATAAATATTCCTATATCTTTCATTTTTTAAAAATGGTAAGTAATAGACAGGTGATAAATCTGTTGAGTTCTTATATTTTCAATTTATATACATAAACTGTATTTTATAGGCCTCTACTTCTAAAAGGCAAGCTGGTACCAAGAAGAAAGGTGTACCAAAAATGGAATTAACTGCAGAACAAAAAGAAGATATAAAACAAGCATTCGATCTATTTGATCCTGATGGAACTGGAAGAATTGCTACCAAAGAGCTTAAAGTGGCAATTAGAGCTCTTGGGTTCGAACCAAAGAAAGAAGAAATAAAAAAGCTTACAGCAGATGTTGATCCAGATGGACTTGGCACTTTATCATTCGAAGAGTTTTTGAACTTGATGTCTATAAAGATGTTGGAAAAAGATACAAAAGAAGAAGTTCTAAAAGCATTCCGTCTTTTTGATGATGATAATACAGGAAAAATATCGTTCAAAAATTTAAAAAGAGTTGCTAGAGAACTGGGTGAAAGTCTTACGGATGAAGAATTGCAGGAAATGATTGATGAAGCAGATAAAGATGGTGATGGAGAAGTTTCTCAGGAAGAATTCCTACGTATCATGAAAAAAACTAGCTTATATTAATTTCTCATAACTTATTCATAAGATAC